TGTATGTTGTTAAGACCACTAATTATACCACACACAGAATATTCATACCAACAAGCAAAACATCACACACATGCGTACACACAGGCATACAAAGGTCAGGCAAAATATACCCCTTGTTGATTACATGCTGAGATCAGAACTGCGGAGGGAATTGCAACAATATTGTAACAATTAGACTGTCCTTGAAGCTACCTAACAGCCCTGTGGCACCACTGCTTAAAAATGCATGTGAGCAAACGCACACGCAGTCAAGCACACTTGGCTACACATATTTAAAAAGCTTTTTCTTTATCCTTGGCATCAGGAACAAATTTTAACCACAGTGCAGTCTTGAGCCACTCCTCATTTCTTTATGTTTTGCTTTGATAGAACCAGACTTTCTTTTTTTTTAAAATAAGGTCTTTGGGCTTTCTGAAGGTCTTTAAGAGGTTTTCTTCGGACATTGGCTGATTTTTTAGTGATTTTCAATCTAGTCCTTGTACCCGAGCTCAGAAATCTCATGAGAAATGGTTTTAGTGGAAGGGATGATGTAAAACAAGCAATCCTTAAGAAGAGACCAGAGGAAGAAAGGTTAAGGAAGGCCCAATAACTGGACTGAAAATCAGTGGCATCAGGTGCTATGGAGCAATGAATCCAAAATTAAAATTTTTGGTTCAAAATGTCATAAATGAACACACAAAAGTGTAATCACATTTTGATCCATTAAACACAGCTAACAGGGATCTGAATGGCAAAAGCTTAATTTTTTCAGCATGACACTGATACCAAACACACTGCCAATGTAGTAAAAGCATAGCTGGACAGAACGAACACACAATAAAACACAATCAGCCACAGATTGGCCTCCTCTGTGTCCAGATCTCAATATTACTAAAGCAGTGTGGGATCATCTTGACAGAGAACACAAAAAAGGCAGCTAACACCAAAAGAAGATCTTTGAATGTCCTTCAAGAAGCCTGGAGAACTAATCCTGAGGACTACTTAAAGAAATGACTATACATTTTGCGTAGAAGAGTTCAGGCAGTATTATACTAAATTAATGTAATGAATAAATAGACACTGAACATTGACTTTCAAGTTTGTTAGAACTGTACAAACTCTGTTGTTGCCATTGTTGCTGTATTTTCATGTACTGTATGTTTCAGTAAATGGCTGCACATATTCTATCCCTAGTAAATAAATACTATACTGCCAGAAAATATAAATAAATACAGGTTGGCTCAAGAGTGCTGAACATCAGCATCTCTTTGTTCTTTCTTTCTTGTTTTTTATTTCAGTAATGTTTAGTGTGTACAGTAATCAAACTTTATATTCTTTAACACAATCATAACTATATTAAAGTGCCAACTTATAGGCCAGCAAAAGCCAGCAGTAGCTGGTGATATACAAGCACGTTATTGTATGTGAACAGATGGACATTGAAGAAGTTTAAATGATTTTAAATGGCAGGAAAACAAATCTTCACACCATTTATAAAGCACCTAAAGATCGAAGCACCACCGAGGTGTTGTAGCAGAAGCAGAACAAGGCAAGTTAACCACTGTGAGTGATTTGATGCTTCTCTGCTAAGGGATTGATGGCCGCCATACCGCTGTTAGAAACTGCTAAATAACTCAGAGTACAAATCATGTTGTTGCTCTCAGTGCTAAAGGTGCAGCGGCAAGTTTAAGACCTCAAAATCTTAACTGGTTTTATCTAAGAGTTTGTTTTGGGAGGAAATCTCAGGCCTTTTAGTTCAAAGTCGTAACGTTCAAGCCTATGTGTCCAAAGGCTTTATTCAATTTAACCTCCGTGCAGTCATGCTGCGATTATAAAATAAACTGTGACAGAAAAACCTTTCTCAGGGTCACATTTCAACCACAGCAGACGGTAGAATGTTTTAATAACTGAGGTCACGCTGGAATGAAGAGGAAATAGCTTCTCAGATAGGAACAGAATTGAAGTCCAAGAATCTAAGCGTGTTCTATAAACAAAGAAATGTGTCCATACTGATGGAGATCTGCATTTTAATGTAATGTCATTAATTGCTTAACTGCAGGTGAAATATGTATAGACCCTTTTAGCCTTCACAAGTGATTTGTATTGTTTCATTCTTCCAGCACAGCCGGCTAAAGCTATATTTTGCTGATATTGGTGAGACCGGCAGCATATTTCCCTTGAGTGCTCAAATGCAATTTTATGTGTGAGCTAGAAGTGGCAAGGCTGTCTCACGGTACATAGATGTGTGAACAGTAGCGAGCTCACACTCACACACAAATCAAAAACACACAAACCAACATAAATGCAAACAAAGGCATATGAAGTGCTTTGTCTGAAAATCTATGATGTATTATTCAAAATTCGTTGCTCTGTGTACGGCTGATTCATTTGTTGAGATTTAGGGGGAAAGAGCTGAAACTGGCTGGCATCCAAACACATACTGTAGTACATTCTGCTCCAGAGTAAACCTTACAAATAGCCATACAAACCTGAAGTGTCTCCTGACGGGATTGTCATCTGTCAGTGTAACCTGCTTTGCATGACAGACATGTAAACAGTCACTCCACACTACAAAAGCACACCACCGACTCCTTAGCATAATCCCAAAACACTGGCATGACTGTATACCTCTGTACTCACATCCCAATTATCCAGGCCCTATGTAGAAACACACAATGCCTACAGCACCCCGCGTAGCATCCCACATGGCATCATTAAAGTCAAACAAGCTGCCTGAATGTTTGATGTGCCGCTCTCCTCACCCTCTCCATGTGCCAGGGCTCTCTTCTCTCAATCATCTCTTTCTTTCTTTTTTTTACAAATCCATTTTTGTCCTGTCTTATTTTTCTCTTGTTGTTACATACAGCTTCACTTTCTCCATCACACTGTCATGGTGTTTTTCGATTATACTTTGTTCACGGTTCATTGTCTGTTTCTCTTATATCTGACAACAGCGTGCTTCAAAGTTTGCTGTCTGTCATCACAGTACAGAGTGAGAGGAATGTAATGTGAGAAAAAAAACACCTTATTTCCAAAATAGTTCATTATTACTATTGATCTCTATTACTAGAGCCTGACCGATGTATCTGCAGGGGTTATCGGCCATTATTAGCTATTTAAAGATACCTGCACTTATAATAGCCATTAAAGGAACATTTAAAAAATAAAGAAGAGACCAGAGAAAGACCTGTTAACCAAGGTGTGAATTCTGATATCGAATAGTCTGTCCACTAGGGAGGCCTCTGCAACTTCTCAGATGGAAACGTGTTTGCAAAGCTGCAAACACAACAACCAGCTGATCTGAGCAGAGTCGGGCAACGCGTAAATGAATAATCCACAACTTGTTCTGAATATAAAATGGTATTAAACATATTTTGTGTGTATGATACGAAATAAAAATTATTGGCCAATATATCGCATGTTTAGATCACCAAATATCGGTATTGGTATCCGTCTTAAAAATCCTATATAACTCAGAGTCTATTTATGAAGAGTAGAAAATCTTGAGTTGAGCGCAAATCCAGATATCAGAACTGTTTTCATGTGCTAGAGCTGTTTTAGAATGAATTTTCGCTATAAATCCAAAGAAATAAATCCATTTCCTCTTAGGTCAGTTTACATTTTGGGTAATAATGATGCAAACATTTAAATACCATCACTTCACTCAGTGCAAAAAACTGCTCCCAGGCTCTTATCAGTACAATTTTGTAAGACTACACATTAATAAGATTTCCACAGTGCAGGACCAGAGAGGACAGAATCTATTGATATGATGTGCAGACATAATTCAGGATCACCAACTAATCCATGATATCGATCAGTCTATGCAGCTCTTTGACAGTAAGCACCGACTAATGGCACAGTGTGAAGGTTAACTATAACAAAGTCGGAGTAAGAGGAGGGTTTTGTGCCTCAGCGCTTTGCTGCTATAAACACACATTTTCATTTTACAATTATATGCTTGTTATTGACGAAAGCCCTCTAGGTGGTTATACAAACACTCTAGGGTACAAAAGGACAAAAATACGAAGGGAATTGTTGAGCAGAATTCAATTAATCCTTTTTTTTCCACGGATAACAAGAAAATTACTGTTTACAACACAGTTGAGTATAAATTTAAACATCAAACTTCTCTCGATAGCTCAGTAAAACATAAAACGCTTAACAAACAGAAACCAACAATACCTCTGAATAATTACAAAACAATGCAACAAAGTTTTGTCGGTAGGGGACTTTGCAAAAGTCAATTTCTGACAACAGATACAGTGGCAGCACAGCTACTATTGTGAGTAAATCACAATTCAAACAAAACAAGAGATGGTGCCGCTGAATAAAGATTTAAAAAAGTAAACGGTTTGCCACTTGATGTTGTTTCTCATGTTAAGCCAAACTGCAGCAGTATCTGTTCTACCCTACAGCTTAAACCTATGGTGAGTCTTTATTAACAGCAAGCTAGCCATCAGTTTTACAGGATCTGTAATTAACTCCAAACCGCAAACACTTCATACTTACCATCAGCTAAAAACAGGTGACGTGAAACACCAGGGATCCTCTAAATAATATAACACTAAACCATTTAAAGATCAAAAACAGGAATCTGTCTGTAACTGAGAGCTGAATTCATTTGCACTTGGCTGTGGCCCAACTTTATGTGGCGCCTGTCTTGTGACTGTGCTTTACCTGGATCCATGGCCATCTGTCATTTTCGGCTGCAGTCCAGGCATTGACCAGCCCCTTCTTGTTGAGCCTTGCAAAGTACGGGTACCACTTCTGTAGGCCAAAGAGAGCACGGTGGGTAGAAGAGGCCGTTATCTGTTGGTTGGAGATTATACCGCCCTCCATGCCCAGTGGGCCAGAGCATTCTGAGAGAACAGAGAGACAGAGAGAGGAAGCGATAGATGAGTCCTCCTATCATTCTAAAACTCAGAAATGTGGGAAAGTGAGTTTCAGGAACGCGTATAATGTTCAAAAAAAGCACAAAACCACTGACTTTATCCTCCCCATTTTGTTTTGTTTCACTCTTTTTATCTTTAAATGTTGAATTGGAGTCAACATTATGGATTCCCCTCAGTGGTCCGATTCCCCATTGATTCACAATTGATTACTGAGCTTATTGGAAAATAACAATATAGGCCTACACAGCATCACTGGCTGCTTTCATTATCTCTATGTCTGAACACAGTGTAGACCAAGAGTACCCAAAAAAGGCTTGCATGTGACTTAGGTGGGAAAAAAGCTCCAGTGCCATGAATTCAGTGTCAGCCTTCTGCAATGGACAACTGTCAGAAAACTAAGCCAGCAATAATAAAAGGGAACTGATCAGCTTGGAGTTCCAATAGACTGAGCAATTTGGCACCAGTTCTCAAGTGGAACCACTTCTCAGTTCCCAGATGCTCCAAAATTTCATTTGTATTATATTAGCCAAGGTCATTCAAACTCTGACTTTCTCTTGACTATTGTTGCATTATTTGTTAACTCACTGTTATGTTCACCATAGCTATTTTCTATTCTACTGTCCCTACAATTTTGATTGTCAACAAGGCGCTTTTCTCATGTCTCCCAAGTTCTTTTAAGTCACAGCTGCAGATTGGGACTCTTGTCTCCGTCTCAGTGCTACTACACACATTTGATGGACTAACAGGTTGTTCCTTCATCTCTTCCATCAGGAACAGAGCCCCCGGGCTCTCTCCCAAGGAGCTGCAGCCACAGTTGAACAGCATCATTCCCAAAGTCAACAAGCTTTGCAATAGCTTTAAATATCTTAGAGGCTGCATTAAAATGGGGAAGTCTGACACCATTATCCTCAGTCAAAAAGCCCTTTTTAAAGCTGCTGTTTTTTGCAGTTAAGCCTAATTAGTGTGTCCAGGCATATCCAATGCATTTTAATAAATATACCTGTGGCAAAAGGGATTCTGGCAATGCTGATCCAATAAAGAATTTATTGCTCTGCACAACAAGTACTTCTTTGTGTTTCCATTAAAAAAAAGAAAAATACTGAGAGATGAAACAAAAAAAAAAACTTGGCACAGAATATAGATGTAGATGGAATGGGCTGGAGAAGGTGTACATAAATTATACAACATACCACAGTACATTGCACATAAAAATATTGTTTCTGTCGAAACACAACAGATTTTGTTTTTGACAGCTCTGATAATGTAAAAATGTTTTATAGATCCTATATTGTTTGAAAGTACGAATTACAAATCTGTGGAAAAGCATCAGAATCAAGGAACTGATGTGGGCAAGAAAACACTGTACGCAACTGTGGTTGCACCTTAAAATAAGCTGTGGCCCATTGACACCAAAAGTGATTCAGCTGTTACTCCACCTGTTTATAATCTCTCACACTCAATAAAGTATGTTAAACAGGGGTGATGTTGCAGTGACACAGCGAGCTTCCCAAACTCCTCATCATGCAAACTTTAAACTGTAACATGCAGTTTACCTGCATAAAAAATGGCGAGAAATTGGTTTCACGTGATATGCAATGTGAAAGAAAACTAGAGAACCCACTCATAGCACTAATAGTAATAAAGATGAGCAGGATTATTTGCTACTTATGCAAAAGTCAGCTAGTTGATGACATTTTAGCAATTAATTATTATTTAATGGCATTGTCTTCTATCTTCTCAGTTATAGTTATAGAAGATTTGTCTCTGCATGATTTTTTCAGTTATTACTGGTCTGCTGTGATTGCAACAGTGTTTGCAGTGTGATGCATGTCATTCTCTATCAATGCTAGCATTATGGAGGCTGAATTCCCCACAACCTTTGTTTATCTTTCACATTTACTTTGGTATGTCTCTGAAAGGAATGCGAAAAAAATAATACCTTAATCGTTAATGACACCATCATTTTTAAACTTTTTCTAGGACCACTGGTTTGTCATTAAAAATCAATCAAACAATTTGATTATTCAAGTAGCATGCATGTGATTGCAGATATAGTGCAAGAGCTCTAAAAACTACAGCACAGAAAAAAAACTGAGGGAACTTGGAAGAGTCTCAAAAGAATGAGGACACATCAAGTACAGACTTCAGCTCGAGACACAGCTTGCTTATGCTGGTTGAAGTGCAAGTGGCTGTGCGAACCAGCCTTCAGGGGATGCCTGGAGCAATGGTCACCTAAAAACTATGAAGCTGCCTTCATCATTTAAACAAAATATCTAAAAAATAAAAAAAAAGGCATTTCAAAGTCAGTACTGAAACACAGATCCAAACGACACACATGCATTCCAACAGACAACCAAACTGGCAACACTGAGACGTGTGAGAAGGCTTACACCACACAAGAAAGCCAAGACTCAGAAAAGAGTGGAACAATGAAAACAACCCTAGCATGACTTATCCAGCTGCTAAAAACAGTGGGGTGCTAATCAACAGGGAGCCATGGAGACAGTGAGTAATGTCTGAGGACAGTCCAGGGGGATCTACTGGAGGCTGGAAGGAAGCACAAGTATTTCTTTTTGTGTACACGTACTGACAGAGATATGTTTATATATTTGAGTATGGTAAATCACTCTCGCTTCACTAGTTCTACTATGTGACTCACCGCTTCCAGACTGATGAGAGGATGGTGTAGGTGGATACACCACTGGTAAAACTCTGAGAATCTCATGAGTTTCCAATACCTGTTGGACAAACTTAATTTGGTCCTCTGAAAAAGGCTCTCTAAGAATAAACTGGTTTTATTTTTAAATGCAGCCTAGCAGTTGAAACTAAATACATGGAAAGTGTTTTTCTTGTTACTTGTTTGAATCACTGATTCAGTATACTGTTCATTTTAATATACTTCAAATAAGTAACATATGTAATAATAGCCACATTTTTAGGCCTCTGTGTCAGAATTAGCTGTTGTTTTTCTTCTTTTTTTGGTATTCCATGATTTGAACATCACAGGAATGCAAGAATGGAAATGATTCAAGTTTGGCACAAACTTTTTCTGGACTCAAGGATGCACTGACAAAAATTTGGTGTTTAGGGTTCACACTGACCTTACAAAACACATTGTAGGCTTCATCTCAAGAATCCTTGTTTTGATTACAACAAAATACTGAACAAATGTCTAACTGGAAAGAAATTAAGTGATGATAGAATGGAAAATGTGACCTTGTTTCACATTTGCTCAGATGCTGAATTAGCAACGCAAACTGCAGATTTGCTTGGATTTTACAGACTTTGGGGTTGCCAGGTTGAAGAAAAAAGTGAACTTTTTTTGCAGAACTGATTACGTCGCCCTAGGAACTTAAAGTCAGGAACAACAGTAACCGGGCAATGCAGAATACGTTTCTCTATTTCTAAGAAAAACAAAAGAGTCTCCAGCCATGATACCCACTCTTTCAGACTTTGCAGATTCTTTTCACTGCCTTTCCTAGAGCTGTGCTGATAACGTGCTTAAATATACTTTTTTGAATGATATGAACAGAACATGGGCGTTGCAGGGAGAACGATCCCTCCTGACCAAATGCAAAGAATGCAGCAAGTTTAATTTAATAAGAGAGTCTTCTTAATGAATCCTGACTTTCAATTTGTTAGGGACCCTGCAGTTACACATGCTTTTTCAGACACTGGCACCAAATGTCATATCACCCAAATTTACCTCCTAAAAATGAAATGGAAATCTATTTTTCCCCATTAGAGCCTGCGGATCGAGGTGCAGTGTTGCATCAACACAATATTATATTTGTCTAGATGTTGTGCCTTTTGGGCAGCTCTCTTGTAAGATATTCCATATAGATGTTGTGACAAGACACTGCTGCAAATCCACGGTCCCTCTGACCTTGTGGCAATGATGGGCCACTCTTAACGAGCTGCCTGCCAGTCGTCAGTCAGAGCAGCAGAGGCAGCCAGCCCCGGGGCCTTGCCCTCCTGGCCCCTGAGCATACATCAGCGTTGCGACAGCACACATCACTAACACCGCCAGTACCGTGATGTGACAGCTGAATCCATCTCCCACAAGCCCTACCTAAAGCCTAAACAAATTAGCGCCCCACTGAAATTAATGCCACCGCACCAATACTAATGACCATGGAGCAAAAAGAGGGGATAAGTCAAAGAATAATAAATACACCTAACAGATGTTAGCCGCACGACAGACGTTCCACAGGTGACAAATGGCGGTGAATAAAATGCACCTGTACACATGTTCTTGTGTAGCTGCAACTTTAAAAGTGACCAAGCTAGCAATGTGTGTTTTAAAAGAATACTGCTACGCTCTTGTTGAATAAAGCAGAACAAACAGAGAAAAATGCATAGCTTGTGTTAGTACAACAATCCACATGCACATATTAACTTTCCTTACATTATATTATCTAAATACATTTTTGAAATAGGTTTCCACTGTTTATTTTAAAAATAAGCTTTCCCTGCTCTACCTCTCAGTATGTCAGCCAATAAAACTTTTGAATTAATATTAGCTGAAATACCAGGTGCAAATACTGCACATATTGTACACCTGCTGTGCAGTTCTGAACTTTGGATGGTCTATAGCATATTGAAAAACTCGTAGTCTACAATTACATTTTCACAGAACAGCTAATATATAGGGAACCACTGATGCAATCAATATGAAAAAAAAAATGTCAATACAAAATGACCATAATAAAATAAATACTTACACTTTGCGTTATGAGAAACATTAAAATTAAAATGTTGAATACATTGAACTCCTTGTCATATTCAAGAAACCAGTATGAGATGATTTGAGCTTTTTGACATGATGCATTATCCTGCTGGTCACAAAGGGGTTGCTCATGGAAACAATACTCGGGTACACTACTCCGTTTCAGTTACTGTTATCTTCCTATCAGCTTGAAGCAGTCTAGTTATTCTCATCTACCCTGTGGCACAACAGCGAAATTTCACCTTGAGAAGTGCTCACTTGACATCTTCTCTTTCTAGACCATTCTCTGTAAAGCTGTAAAGATGATTGTGCAGGCACCAACAACCACATTCAAAGTCTCTTAAGTTTCTTTTGTTCCCCATTCTGGTGCTTCATATTCACCATGTCTACATGCCTAAATGCATTGAATTACTACCGTGAGACTGGCTGATTAGATATTTGCATTAGCAAACAATTGAATAGGCGTAACTATCAATCAGTCTCCTCCGTGCCGCGTCTGTCCAGTACAGAATGCATTCAGCTTGTCAAATTTACATAAATCTGTGATCGCTAGCAGTGTGACTCTGAAGTGCTGTACTGTATGTTTGTAAGTTCTCTCCCCAACAAACACAACAATGTCAACAAAATGTTTTGCACCGTCAAAGGCACCTGCAGTAGCATCCAAAAGGCAGGGGAAGAAGGGAACCATCACACAAGAAGTTTGACTTCTGGACATGCTAAAGGAAGGTAGAAGTTACCGTATTTTTCCGATTATAAGGCACATTAAGCAAACTAAATCTGATGAATTAATTTGTGAGTAGCCGTGTTGGGGGCCTGCTCAGGGCTCCAAGTTCACTGATATATTAATCCTAATATTTTCCTAGACTGCAGACGAAATCCTCACAATAGCATAATAAACACATAAAGCCTCTTTGAGCTTTTGGGTTTCTTGCAAAAACCTACTCCTTTAAAGACTTTTTCCATGCAGCCAGTGGGAAAAAATGAGGGCTGGTAAACACAAAATACTGACACAAGGCAAGACAAATCCATCTTTCATTTTATGAGAATTAAAATGTTTATAATATGTTTATAATATTAGGTTTAATTATGTTCCTAAAGAATGTGACCACTATACTATGATGATATGATAACTTCTTACTTCTTCAAATGTTATAT